GCCTAAATCTACAATAAATAAATCCACAATAGTAATGGATAGTCGTTGTGGCATGTCTGATTCGAGGAGGCAAAGAAGAATTATTCAAGTAATTGACTGAAAATTATGATGATTCAAGTCATTGACTCAATCTTCAAGTTTGGCTATAAAATGTACTAAAACAGAGTCCTCACAAGTCACAATATAAAGTGTAGAGTAGCCTCACCTCTACTCTTAAATGACAACCCAATGCATATTGTGCATCAGGATCACCCATATCTGCTGCTTCTACCAATAAAGCTGCAGCGCTGTTGTCAAGGGAAAAAGGAAAATATGACTACAAATTAGCAGTATTTCCATATGACTTGAAAAAGAAACAAGTTCAAAAAACTCAGCATGGCGTCAGCAGAAGGTTATAATCAATGGGAATTTAAAATTATTTAAAAGGAGACAGAAAGAATAGGAAACAATCAAATCACAAAAGGAAGAACCAGTTGTCATTGATGACAAAAGCAAGAACCAGTTGTGCTTTAAACAGCTACTTCATCATATTGCAAAAGATGAGATTTATATATAATATGTATTGAAGCACTCAAGTTCCTGTAAATTCTGAAGTTTACTTTTCCATTCTTGTGGATAGCTACTCAGCTGAGCTCACATCAAAAAGAGGAACACACGCGCGTGTGTAAGTTGTGCTTTAAGCAGCTACTTCATCATATTGCAAAAAAATGAGATTTATAATATGTATTGAAGCACTCGGGTTCATGTAAAATATTTACTTTTCCATTCTTGTGGATAGCTACTCAGCTGATTCACGCACACTTTTCCGTTCTTTGATGGAAAATAAGTAGAGCATGAAGAAACAAGACATAATGGAGGATAAAAGTTGACTTACACAGCCTTATTTGCTCCAGGAACATGGTATTTCATATGCAATCTGGACAGCCAATACCTAGCATGAGTGTTGGTGTTATCTGCCTCCAGAGCAAGCTCAAAATTCTCCTTTGCTGTCTATTTATGAATCCCAAATAAGCAAGGGTCTACTTATTGTTGTCTCATATAAAATCTTAAAATAAAGAAGCAAATGGTGGCAATTGGTTAAGAAAGCAGTGATTACGTTAAGAAGAGGGATGAGACGCCTATCATTGAGCTCACAATAATCAATGACTCTATCAACCTCCTTCAAAGCATTCCAGCCTTTGGCAATGAACTCCATGGCTTTCTTGTTCCTGCTATGCAATCCTCTCTGCATATAATTTCCACCTTTGATAAGCAAATATGCTGAAACACAATAACAATCTAGCTATCTAGAGCACCACACTTCAATTTTATTTTATTTTAAAAGGCACATGCTAGTGGTTAGTTTGTTAGGGGAAAGGAGAAATTGTTAGCAACTAAACCCTGAACCTCTTTCTCAATACTCCTTCAGTGTCCCAACTCACATCACCGGGCTACACCTTCTGGGACACCGAAGCTTCAAACTGATTATGTGTCTCACATATGTTTGAGTCTGACACCAACACGATAACGACATATGTTATTAAGAAAGATCTTGAGATTAACGGTTAGGATAGAAGCATGGTTTTGGATAGAACATTATGGCAAAAGTTGATCCATGTAGCCAACCCCGCTTAGTGGGATAAAGCTTGGTTGTTGTATTATCAATGTGTCAGTATATTGTTTAACTGTAAAAGTGTAATAACATGCCTGTTGATTGAATTGGAGACGAGAAAAAGTGGAGGGCTTCGGAATGAACTTGGCCAATAATGCCCTAGGCATCATCTTCTTAAAAGCAAAGTGATATCAACTGAGATTTCCTGTAACACAGAAACAACAAAAGCATAAATCGGTCAATACAGAACACTTGTAACATGGGTTTAAAGAACCCTGCATTAAGCCACTAAGCATTATATGTAACATGGGTTTAAAGCACCCTGCATTAAGCCACTAAGCATTATAGTGGCGGAGCTTGACTACAAAATTGGAAGGCCAAAATAAACTACAATGTTTGAACACAACAATATTAAATCAGTTCAATTAGAAGTAGAAAAGTATCCAACTCATACAATGCAAGAGCAATAAATTACGCCAAAAACAGAAAATTATACAGCCCCAAGTCATACAATCACGGTGAAATAACTCAATAGCAACAGCATCGATGAACAACAGCAACAGAAACCCAGTATGGAGAACAGATAGGACATCTATATACAACAACAGCAACAAACCAAGTATGCTTACATATGTGTTGATCAAATTGCTGTCCTACAACCAATAGCATTAAATTCACAAAATGTATGGAAAGAAGGACAGTATCTACCCAATCCAAATCTATAATGTTTTGCAATGGTTTAAAGCACTTAAAACAATGAAATTTATCTATAATGTTTTGTAATAAAATGATTCATCTAATTCCAAGCACAGCATTTGTGTTTAAACTTCAACATATGGTAGCATATATAGATCAGTACCTCCAAACTCAAACCTTCTTGACTCTTGAGGCAATGTGGTTAACAGCACCCTCGATTACTTGAGCAATATCAGGATACAAAAAGTGCGGCTCTGTGACAAAAAAAAAACAGAAACTTTATCTAAACAGAAAAGGAAAGAAAACAAATTCCATGATAAAAGCAATTTCCCCAAGAAAATGAGCTTGTCTTCAACACTCTACAAAAACATACTAATGATAAATCTTTCTCCAAAGGGGACCAAACACAAATGTCACAACAAATTCCATAGCCGAATAATCCAAAAATCATTTTCATTAAGTGAACATCACAACACATAAACTTCTACTTGGCAACCATTGGCAGCAGATTAAAAAAATAACATTAACTTCCCTATACTACTGCTGAAATTAAAATAGTAGACAATTCAGTATGAGTTGGTACTCACAATGCAGAAGGTAGCAAAAATAGAAATCAATCAATCAATATTCTTTGAGATGCTTTGTTGGTCTGGTTAACATGGCCCATATCCAGTTGAGAAAAATGGAATAGAGATTTGCATATAGAGATGGAGCCTAATGTGGCTGTTGCTACTAGGAAGAAATGTGGTAAATCCATTGGTTATTGGTAAAGACGGAGAGAAAGTGGCTAGGTTTATGTTTGAATATGTTTTTTTTATGGAGAGTTAAATGTTGAGCAACAACCTTGAGTTCATAAATACATCCTGTGTAACCCAATTGATAGAAGACTAATATTTCAAGAATCAAATAAACCAAAAATCATTTTCATTAACTGAACATCACAACACATAAACTTCTACTTGGCAACCATTGGCAGCAGATTAAAAAATTAACATTAACTTCCCTATACTACTGCTGAAATTAAAATAGTAGACAATTCAGTATGAGTTGGTACTCACAATGCAGAAGGTAGCAAAAATAGAAATCAATCAATCAATATTCTTTGAGATGCTCTGTTGGGCTGATTAACAGGCCCATATCCAGTTGAGAAAATGGAATAGATATTTGCATATAGAGATGGAGCCTAATGTGGCTGTTGCTACTAGGAAGAAATGTGGTAAATCCATTGGTTATTGGTAAAGACGGAGAGAAAGTGGCTAGGTTTATGTTTGAATATGTTTTTTTTTATGGAGAATTAAATGTTGAGCAACAACCTTGAGTTCATAAATAAATCATGTGTGTGGTGTTTGATAAGGATTGAAGGGTACATGTCAGAATTTGTAATAGAAGGGGAAGACACATGAGAGTAACTCTTACCGGCGATTGGAACTCCTATGATGCTGTGAGCTGTTAAATGCAGGATCAAAAAGTTTAGAATTTGGATTCAACGCTTTACAATCACTGCACTGTGAGCAACTTTGATCGGTGTTTAGGGATTTCAATGTAATATTTTTCCCAGTTTCTTTCAATTTCGACAAATGAACCCCACCCACTTCTCTTCATCATTTCATAAACCCTAACAATTGATTCTCTTCTCTTATCTCCAACAACACTCTTAATCAAACACAAAATACAAAATAACATGTATGAACCTCATTGAGGCATTTTCACAAACAACTAGTGAGTGCACATATTAAACATTTCTAGTTCTATTTGTTCCTACAATGTTAAGATTTATATCATATGAATTTAAATGAGATGAAGAATGATTGTTGATTTTTGAAAAACTAGAGATTAAAGAGAGAGGGAGAGAGAAGAGTACCTTGATTGAAGAAAAATAGAAATGTGAAGGTGATATTATACAAAGTCGCCGGAATGGGATGACGGCGGTGCTAGTGGTTGTTGCTGCTTAACGGAAGGAGTGTTTGTTGAATGAAAACTAGATATATCGGAGAAAGAGTACTGTAGTTAAAGTTTTTTGGAACAAAAACTATACCGGGGAAAGAACAGAATGAGGCCGCTCAATAGGGAAAAAAAATTATGCAATTTTTAATTGCACCCTTACACCTTCTCATAAGCTTTGCGGCGCAGAATTTTTAAAATGCCTCTTGTTTTTGGAGATATATCTCCGGACGTATTAAATTACATTTTTTACTAAATTTAGTTTGGAAATACATATGCAGAACCGTTTTTAGGGTATTTTCGGAGATATATCTCTGAATATGTCTGGTTCCAGAAAACTCAAAAACAGAAACATGACAGAACCATCATAATCCAACATTAGAAACTCACAAACCTATGGTATTGACATTGAAATAATTACTCAAAATAGCATAAACCAAACACAATAGCAACATCACCAGTCCAACTAATCACAACCTCATCACAAATTAACACAAATAGTGTCATAAAGTACTATCAAAACCTCATTCAATTTGTCATAAATCAACATGGTAATGACATCAATAATTCCAATACTTATTTACCACAACAACCAAACACAACCATCAATTAATTCCATCATTCAAAAACAGCTCAGAATTCTACACCAATTCATCACTCAAATTAAACTAAATAACAACACCATCATTTAATCATCAACACCACAAATTAAACTTATATAAAAATGGTAAGAAAGCTTTTGAAGCTTACCCAAACTTCAATCCGAACAATGTCAGTGGGATGGTGGATGAACGGTTGTTGGTTCACGGAACAGTGAAGAGCATGTAGTAACTAGCGGATGGTTGACGTGGTTGGCTGGTGTAGAGCAGTTCGCGGAAGGTAAGTTGGTTGTGTGTTGGTCACAGTGGCCGGATGTTGGTTGTTGTTGAAGGGTGGTTCCGCGGCTGGAAAGGGTGCTGTGAGTTGAGCTGTGAAGATGGTGGTGTGAGCGGAGAGTGTGAAGGTTGTGAGGCAGAGGGATGTTGGCAATAGCTGGTGGTGGTCCGGCTGTTTTGTGTGTTTCGGAGGGCGAGTTCGATGGGGAGCTGGGAGATGGAAGGAAGGCGGATTGAAGAAGGAGTTTGTGGGTTATAGCGCGGTGATGATGAAGATCGTGGCTTGGGACGGAGGTTGAAGTGTGAGGGAGTATGAAGGTGACGCGTTGAAGATGAAGAAAAGTGGGTCTCTGATTTAGTTTGTGTTCAATCTGCCCCCTATCTCAATTCTTATATCTCAACATTTAACAAAATTAACATAAAAAACTAAGAGAACAAAAATAAATACACTCGGAAATTAAAAAAAAAAGGAAAATCTAAAATAATAAAAAAACAATAAAAATAAATATTTAAATAACCAGGAAAAAATAAATCCATTAAAATAAACTATGAGTCACAAAAGTCAATTAAAAAGATTCCAAATGATCAAAATCGAAATAAAAATGAGAATAAAGATATTTAGCTGAGCAGACGCTGACAAGTAAGAACGAGACTGCAAATTGTATCGAAAAAATACAATGAGCACACCGACATGATCTACGCCCAACGTAGATTCATAAAATGATCAGATAGAGATGAAAACTCGAAATATTTTGCCTGCTAAATTTTTGCACAATTCTGAAACGCTTTTTACAATCTGCCTGTAGAATCGAAATATCAATATTATCGGCATATAAACAACTTGACGCAATACATGAAGCCGGTAAAAAATGAAAAAAGCATTAAGTGGAATAACGGGTATTTTTCAACTCTAAAACGATGCAAATGATGATTTAAGTTGACTTTTGATCAACCTAAATGCATGAATAACCGACTAATGATACAAATACAATGAATGAATGACCCTGGGATAAAATTGGAGTATAACACCTTGCTACATTTTTCTTCTGATTCTGATCCTTCAGAGTCAAAATCATCCCATGTTGTCATGAGACCTTTCTTGTTTCCTTTAAAAGTGTTTTTTTTTCTTAAAGCTTTCTTTTCTGGTGCTTTCCTTCTTGAGATTTAGACATTCATTTTTGTAGTGTCCAGGCTCATTGCACTCAAAACATGTTAAAGTGTTGTTACAATTTGTGTGATATTGGACATTCATTTTTGCCATGATTTTGTGATAGGAAGCAAGAGGTTTATTGTGTTCAAGACATCAACATTTCTTTCATTTTCTTGTTGCTTGTAGTATAAGTTACTTGAGGATTGAGGGATTAAATTAGGGTTTCATTTGGTTTGAAGATGATTTGGGGTATTGATTCAATTTATCCCATTTAAGAATGTTCATACTTTGTTTAAGATTGTTAAAGTTTAAAGCATACAAGGTTAGATGTTTTATATGGTTTCTTTGAAATACAAGTCACAAGTTGCAACATTCAAGTTTCAAGACATTATTCAACATTGCCCAAGTGTAGGGTCAAGCATTTTACACATTCATCATACATCATTCAAGACAAAGTTAACATCATTTATTCATCATTTCAAGTCCAAATTGCATTCAATTTCGAATGTCTATGTCCCTTCATACAAACAATCATTTTAAGCTTTTTAACCATGCCTTCAAAACAATCCAAAATTACTTCAAAATTAGTGGCATTGCTTGCTTCAATTTTGATTCAAACTTGTTCTTAAAACCTTGCTTCACTATTGTTCCAAACCTGTCTAAAAAAATGATAAAAACTAGTTCAAAGTTCACTTCAAATCATGCTTCAATTTCATCCAAATAAACAATCCAAATTATCCATAATACATGACCATAACTTGCTTTGTACTGCATCCAGTACAAGCTTTCACACATGACCAAAACCATTCACAAACATTGCTTAAAATAGACAAACACATGTGCCTGCTACATGAAAAAAGCTTGCAAAATTGCCTAAACAGAATTTGTGAATTTGGAATTCAAGCTTGCTCAACATGATTTCTCAATGCCACCTCATTATCCAAACCAAATGCAACTTGTTCCAAGCCTCAAACACGAGCCAAACATGAATCTAAAATTGTACCCTAACCTACCATTTTAGTGTAAATTTAGATCTAACAAACTCCATGCCAAGATAACCAACTTCAGAGCTTAGCTTAGGTTCCAAGCCTCATCCATAGCCTAAACATGAGCTCTACATAAGGAAATTCCCTTCAAATTTCAAATTTCATTATCCTCTCAATTTCTCTGCAATTTCTTGTTTCAATCTTCATCGACACTCTATTTCTAAGCTTCTGTGTGCAACAATGAGGATCTGAATCAGTCAATTCACTATGTCCAAGTGAAAGATTCATACGAAGCAGTTGGAGTTGGTTTAAGCATTTTATCAAGAATCAAAGCAAATTGATCATAGATTCACTCTCCTGGAACTTCAATGGAGCTTTTCCAATCATTTATAATTCTCTATAGCACTTGTGAAGAGGCATCAGACGTACTCTAATAGGCAAGATTATGATCACTTCATTCTCCATTGATTCAACATTGTTTTCATTCATTCTTGTTACATAAGTGATTGTGATGATGTGTGGATCTGAAGCCATGTGATAATAGGCATTGATTGAGCTTATATGTGATTTAATTTGAAATCTAAACAGTTAGATTTTATGCGTGTTTGTTTGATTGTGTGAATTTTAGCCTTGATTAGTGAAAATGAATGTGATTTCTGGATTCAGCAAGTGAAAACAAGTGGAGTGATGTAGCGTTTGTGAATTTCTAGTATTAGAATCACTGTTGTTGCCGCCTTATGGCGATCAGCGCGATGGTTAGCTCGCCTGAGAATATGATGACGTGGTGGCACCATTTTTTTTAATGTTTGAATCCGGTTAGGTGTCATGATGCTATTGGATGCTTGTTTTTGTTTTATTTTCATTTTAAATTATAATAGTAGAAATGTTTTTTAAAAAATCAGAAAATAAGTAGAAGTGAACATGTTGTTGTGATTTGTTTGGGCCTGACTGTGCACTTGATCACCATACCTCCTCCTGAGCCCACACGCCACAGTTTTTTATTCTGGTTTGCTTCTGGATCCAAAAAAAAATTCTATTAGATTGGGCTTGATTCAGTTTTGCTAATACAAACACATAGTCTGAGCGTTGCACCTCCTTGTTTCTTCATTTCATTTTACTTTTTTATTTCTTTTCAATTGATTTTTATTCTATTTTCTTTTATTATTTTTAATAATTGAAAATGATAAAAAATAGGATGTATGCATGATATTTTTGTGGATTTTCTTTAGCATTTTATTTTATTCTTTTTTTGTGTTGATGTTTGATTAAAATAATGTCATGTCCTTGATGAATTTTCTTATTGATTTTTGTGCTATCTCTTTATGAATTGTGATGATCTTCTTGATGATTTTCTTGATGATTCTTTAAGCGATCTTGACATGCTTTGTGTGCTTTGTAATTGATGCTTGTTGTTGTTTACTTGTGTGTATAATATGTTCTCTTAGGGTTTCTTAATTTAACTTTAATCTTTGATTAAATTGAATTAAGGTATACATTAGGGTTTCTTAATCCAAACATTATAACATTAATTAGGGCCCCCTTTCAATCTCAACCTTAGGGCCCCCCTTCAATCTCAATCATAGGGCCATTGGTGCATGATAACATTAGGGTTTGAGATCCCTTTAGCTTTTGCTTTTCTTTTAAAAGACAAAATCATTTTCTTAATCAAAAATATAAAATACTTAATAAATATGATACATATAATATGCCATGAGCCTAAAGCAAATGGGGAAAGATGAGTCAAATCCTTCCTTACCTCTTCTTAGAGTATTGTGTACGCGAGGCGTATGGCTCGTTTATACAAAGTATTCGCTCTTATTTCATAGACTTTAGTATAATACATATCTCAAACAAATTTCAAAACTAAAGGAAAAGTACTAAAATACCTCAATCCTTGAGGGACCATTTGATGTATCTCCTAACAAAACAATTCAACCAATTCAAACTTTTTTGCCTCGGGTTTCTTTTCTCTTTAAAACCTTTTCATAAAAGGCATGTTATTTATATTCTACCGCAAACAGACTACGTCTAACTGCTAGAATGTGAACTTAGCATCGTCTATAAAAAACAACCAACAAACAAGTTTTTTCTAGACGAACTATGGAGCTTTGACTTCCATATTGCACTATGGGGATGCATAAGCACATGATTCAAGAAATCTTGGTGAGCTCAATAATAAAAACATTTTGTTTTTTCCCTTCAATCAAATCATTCATGCATTTTTAGCAAGTAAGCTTTAGATAACAACACTCTTTATTTAGAACAACCAGAGTGGATCACGTTGAGTACAACGGACATCAAGGGTGCTAATACCTTCCCCTTGCGTAATTTACTCTCGAACCCGAATTTGGTTGTGAGACCATGTTCTTCCCCTTTTAAGGTTTTCCGATGTTTTCCTTTCCCCTTTGGGATAAATAAAGTTTGATGGCGACTCTGCTTTTTTTAGGGTAGCGACACCATGTCATTTCCACATCAAGCATCCTTTTGAAGTGGTTCTTTTTGCACTGTGTTCTAATCCATGAAAGTATCATTTGGAAAAAAGAAAATAAAAAATGCACGAGTAAAATCCATTTGGCCTAAGAACATGGTGACATGAACTTTGTTTGTACTCAGTGACCTATAATTTAAAATGACCTAAAAGTTGCTTAGGACCATTTTACACATGTGCAAACTTGTTTATCATGACCAAACACGTCTGGCACAACACAAAACGACTCGATTTGCTCGGAAAATCACACATTTCATGCTTCATTTTACACGGTTTAGATCTAGAATTTTCCAAATTTGATTCACACGATTGAGACCCAATTTGGCACGTATAATGAGCTCAATTATTCTCCTATAAATAGAGCATCATTTTTCCTTCATTTGCAAGCTTGAATAGACACGAAACTCTGCCTCTCTCAAGCCCGAAACTCTAAAAAAACAGAAGTTCTCTTTTCATTTTAAGCTCTTTTAAACTGAAATCCCCTTGCCTTTATTCTTGAACACATTTCTTCTTCTTTATTTTGCTTTGTTTTAATCATGATGTTGCATTATTTTCGGAGGATGACTTTGTATCATTCCTTTAATATGCACTACACCTACATTGCTATTTCCCGGTCTCAGATAGTTGTGACTTCTACAAAAGTCCAATTATGATTGCTTAACATAGCGCTAAATTGTCCCAAATTAGTTGATTAACAATTAACACTAAATTAACTCAATATTATTGTGCTAACTTTAAT